GATCCGTACGGAGCTGGTTCGATTGACCAGTGGATTGCTACGTTTCTGGCTTGCTCCAGCCGCAGGGTAAAGTGTTATTCTGTCTTTTCTATTCCCTTTTTATTTTATAGTAATTAGTAATTTGTGTGTCTTATATCTTTTGTATTTTCTGTAACTTGTTATATTTTGTACATATTTTATGCGCTGCCCACTTTGGGAAATTAAATCTTAAAATTAATTAGTGAACTTCTTTGTATTTAAGCACGTGCTTATATCTTTGGAGAGACTAGATCGGAGAGATTAGATTGTATTGTATTTTAGTGCCTTTAAAATGCTCGGTTTAAGCTCATTGCCAATTTGTATGTAACTGCACTGTGAGTGGCAGATTGCACGCAGATTGCAAAGGTGACAGATCGGCCAGACGGAGATCTGTGTGTTTGTGGTGTCTCAACAGACCGCTCTGCTGTTGGGGGGTGGCAGGCTACCTTTGTGGTGCATCTGGTGTGGGGGGGTGTGGACAGTGGAAGGGTTATCAACAGCAGGGTTCAATCTATAATAGCTGAAGGGACCTTAGAAGGGTGTGTGATTATTAAGCTGGTCCTCAATTCTAATCAGGGCACCAGGTTGTATGTAAGATCGTATCTGCCAGTGTGTGGTCGACCAGCTGGATTGGAGTGGAGTCTCCATCTGGTGGTGGCCAGAGTTAGTGCGGGCTGTTAAAAGGTATCACGGCTGATCTTATATACGGTTTGAGATATTCAAGTGTAAATCCCCTTTATTCCCCCTCTTTACCACCCTGTCGCGGCCGCACGTGCGTGCTTCGGTTAGCTAGTCGCTGTGGGCTTGGCGTGTGGGGGACACATGACAGGGTGATCGTGGACGGATCCTTGACACCAGGGATGGAAGGTTATGGAACCAGGGATGGGATGTGGTGGAGCTGGGATATGAGAGACGATCAAGCTGAGAATATAAGGTGATGGAACCAGGATTGAGGGGAGAGAGAATGAATTGCATTACAATGAGTAAATAAAAATAAATATTAATAAAAATGAATTCAAGTTAATAAAATAAAAAAAGTTAGAAAATATCATTAAATGTATTACATGTGACAATTATAAGCAGCTGAATAATCCCTGTACAACAACGGCATAAGGAGCCTATCAGATAAGCTGAATGCACATGTACTGACAGAAAACATACACAGACAAGAGGAGAAAGCTGAATATATTGGGTGTTGACCTTTTTAATCTGCTGCTGCACCATCATTGCCCATCCACAGGCTGGGGGTGAATAGGTAACTGCACTTAAGAAAATTTAAGTCACTCACTTGCCTGTGTAGTCTACCAGATCTATGACTGCCTGGATAGAAACGCAAACCTTTGGACTACTGAGCCTCTCAGAGTTTAATTTGAAAAAAAAAGCAAAATAAAACTGACTCCAAACCATTATAGCACATTGTCACCATTTTACAAGGTTCTCTATAGGTTTCAGACAGATGACCCAACAATAGCGAATGAAAGTACTGTATGTTCAGCAATGTCATTATAGGGACACAGTTTCGCATTTAGCCTTGTTGTCTAGTGATAAACTGCATGGAAGAGGGAAGGGCCCATCTTCCCCATACAGACCATAAAAGCCCAAGGCCAAATACTGTATGTTCCACCATGGTAAAGTACATGAAAAAAGTCTTCTTTTGCAATCATCTATTGTAGAGGACCAGGTTCTTCCCTGTTCTCAGGGCCTCCCTTCCTTCTTCCATATAAAAGCCCAATATCATTATAGAGAAACAGTTTTGCAATCAGAATTTTGCTAAGCTGCAAAGTACGTAAGAAGTGTTTTCTTTTGTAATCATCCATTGTGTTGAGACATGTTCTTCCCTGTTGCCTCCCTTCCTTCTTCCTCATAAGGTTTGTATAAAAGCCTCCTCATCTCACTGACTTCTCATTGTGCTTTCTAGGTATCCAACATGTCTCCAGGTACCGGATCCCTCCTGCTACTCCTCCTGTCCCTTGCGGGAGTCACTGCTTTCATCAAACTCACCGAAGACGGCTCCGAGGATAAAGAAGCTCTCGGTAAGAATGCAAAATGATGTAAAATACAGGTAACGACTCACCACCCTACAAATATATGTCTTTGATGCATTAATATAGCAGGTAAAATGTAGAAAAGCCTATTATATTTCTAAAGAGTGTTATGCAATTTATATACTCATCATTTATGAATGAGCATGGGTGCAAAACCACTTACAATGCTCTTTTATTTTGTTCTGGGTAGAGATGGGGAATGTTTAGAGCAGCGATGGTCAACTTACTTGATATAAGTGGCCTTAAGTACCCATCAACACCGGCAAGGGCCTCAATTAATATTCAGCTAATGTAATGTTACAGAAAGCAGTTGTCAGGAATGGACTTGCCAGTAATGGTGGGACTCACCTGCCTTGTGGGCTGCAGTACCAGGGCTGGCCAGCGGGTGCTCCCAGCAATCAGACACTCAACCCTGCAGCCAGCCAAACACCTGAAGCTGATTATGCAGGTGTATTTAAGGGATGGCCAGACCTGCAGTCTGGGCCTTGGTGTGTGTTTTTCCTGGGCCCCTGTATCTTGTTACCTGCATCCCTGTTCCTGTTCCAGTCTGACTGATTCATTGCTGACCCTGCCTGATCCGGACCTCTGCTGACTTCTCCTGTTTGATCCCTGGCTTGTGACCCTGACCATTCTCTGCCTGACCCCCTGTACCTACCTGCCCGTTCGTTGCTGTACCCGGCTCGTGACCTGACTACTCTCTGCCTGCTCCTCCTGTTCCTACCTGCCCGATTGTTATTGACCCGGCCTGCCTGACTACGCTTGCATTGTATGTACTGTTATCTGTGGGTGGTTTGGTTCATTTGCACTGTGTTATGTTTTAGTATTGGACTGCATTTATGTATTGTTAGTGTTAATAAATTATATTGTTTATAACATATCTGAAGCCTGCGTTTCCCTGCGTCAGTTCACATACCTCTGGTCATACCCTGGAGCCCTGACAGCAGTCAAAGACTGCAAACACGCTACATGGGATGGTCAAAGCCTAAGAGCATGCTATAATAGATAATCAAAGACTGCCAACATGATACAGGATATGGTCAAAGCCTAATAGCATGCTGTAGTAGATGGTAAAAGACTGCTGATATAATGCAGGGGATAGTCAGAGCCTAAGAGCATGTTATAATAAATGGTCAAAAACTGCAAATATGATACAGGAGATGGCTAGAGCCTAGAAGCATGCTATAATAGATGGTCAAAGGCTGATGATATGCTATAGGCGATGGTCAGACCATAAGAGCATGCTATAATAGATGGTCAAAGACTGCTGATATGCTACAGGAAACGTCAGAGCCTAGGAGCATGCTATAATAGATAGGCAAAGACTGCAAACATGATATAGGAGATGGCCAGAGTCTGATAGCATGCTATAATAGATGGTCAAAGACTGCCAACATGCTACATGGGATAGTCAGAACCTAAGAGCATGTTATAATAGATGGTGAAAGACTAACATTATTATTCTTATTAAGTGTTCTTGCTTGGCAGACCACTTATTGTTATCTCACATATATATTCTTATTATTATAGCCAAATTTACCACCCTAACTCCTCCCACAGTTTTTACACTACATAGACAGTAATATACCAAAACGTGCGGATTGTTCCCGATTGGTGTGCTATTACTTTGTGGAACGTTTCGCCGAATGGTTCACAAAATATCGGCGTTTTTGTGGTGAAATTGGTCTCATAGGAATGAATGGCGCAACTTCAGTGGGAGCTGACAAAAGCTAGAGTGTGAAAGGAAAAATCCAGACATGATTTCTAAACTGCCATCGCTCCCTCATTTTCAAGCCCACCTACATATCTTATATCAAAACGTTCAGCTATCCCTGCTGCCACTAAAAATGTTCACGGCTAAGCCATAGTCCTGATGGTTTTCACAATATGACTTGCATAGCAAGGAACACTTATTGTTATCTCACAAATATATTCTTATTCTTATTCTTATTTTTTATTCTTACCACAGTTTTTACACTACAAAGACAAGTAATATATCAAAACGTGCGGATTGTTCCCGATCGGATTGCTATTACTTTGTGGAACGTTTCGCCGAATCGTTCAAGAAATATCGCGGTTTTTGCGGCGAAATTTTCCCATAGGAATGAATGGTGCATCTAGAGTGGCAGCAGAGCACAGCTAGAGTGTGCAAAGGAAAAAATCAGAACATGATTTGTAAACTGCCATCACTCTGCCATTTTCAAGCCCACCTACACATATCTTATATCAAAACGTTCAGCTAACCCTGCTGTCACTAAAAATGTTCACGGCTAGGACATACTCCTGATAGTTTTCAGAATATGACCATTTGTTTGCACATCACCCCTCCCATTGACTTTCATTGAAACTCCACTCTAGACACCAGACATTTTAAGGGACGTTTTTAAACTGCGACTGTGCCTTCATTTGTTATCTTTCAGAGACATACTATACATCAAACTGTAGGTCTTTTTCTTGTGATTGTCACAATATAAACCTTTTCACGGTAGCATTTATACTTTTAAAACTACAAGCGTTTGAAGATGGCAATCGCCAGTGAATTTGGCAAGTTTAAATAGCCTGTTTAGAGCACAGCTCCTCACACACCTGTGACTGACTGAGGTAACAGGTGCAAGCAAAGGTCACTCAGGGGGCAGCTGAGTCACATTAGAGTGAGAAAGCTGCAATGTGGAAGGAAAAATCAGAACATGATTTGTAAACTGCCATCACTATGTCATTTTCAAGCCCACCTACACATATCTTATATCAAAACGTTCAGCTAACCCTGCTGTCACTAAAAATGTTCACGGCTAGGACATACTCCTGATAGTTTTCAGAATATGACCATTTGTTTGCACCTCACTCCTCCCATTGACTTTCATTGAAACTCCACTTTAGACACAAGAAATTTTAAGGGACGTTTTTAAACTGCGACTGTGCCTTCATTTTTAATTTGCAGAGACATACTATATATCAAAATTTAGGTCTGTTTCTTGTGATTGTCACAATATAAGCCTTTTCACGGTAGCATTTATACTTTTAAAACTACAACCGTTTGAAGATGGCAATCGCCAGTGATGTCAGCAACTTGGAGCAGTTTGTTTATAACCATGACTCTGCCCTTGGTGTGGAGGGAGTTGCCATAGGAACCCAGCTGTGTGTGAGCAGGAAGCAGAGAGACAAAAGCTAACCTGCCCACTCCAGTTGTGTGGAGGCCAGAACACCACACAATTTCCACAGAAATTGTGAAGACGCCAGTGAAGTGAGCAATTTGAAGTTTGTTTGTTTTTAACCGCTCTTCTCTGCCATATTTGAAATCTAATTCTTATTCTTATTATAGCCATATTTGCAGTGGGAATGACAGTTCCTTCTGTATAAATGAGATGGTATTATTATTCAGTCTGGATAAAAAAAAAAATAAAATAAAAATTTAATTAAAAAAAAAAAAAAAATAAAATAAAAAATTAAAATAAAATAAAAAAAAAAAATAAAAAAATAAAAAATAAAAATTAAAATAAAAAAAAAATTAAAAAAAAAAAAAAATTAAAAAAAAAATAAAATAAAATAAAATAAAATAAAAATAAAATAAAAAATAAAAAAAAAAAAAAAAAAAAATTAAAATAAAAATAAAATAAAAATAAAAATAAAAATAAAATAAAAAAATAAAATAAAAAAAAAAAAATTAAAATTAAAATAAAATTAAAAAAAAAAAAAAAAAATTAAAAAAAAAAAAAAATAATTGATATCCCGGATAAGACACTATGTTTCTTTTCTTTAATATTTAATTAATACTAATTTTAGCACGCAATTGAACTTGGCAAGTTTAAAAAGCCTGTTTAGAACACACATGCTGACATTCCTCTCAGAGTGAGTTGTCATAGCAACCCAGCTGTCTCAGCACAGTGAGCCTACTCCGCCCTCTCCAGGTGCAGCAACCAAAGGTCACTCAAGAGGCAGATGACTCACCAGGCTGGACTGTGAGCTTCAAAATACAAGCTGAAATGCATTTCTCACTATCAGGCTTGCAATGTGCACTGCTTACATTTCATCAATCATTTGGTAAAGGTTGCGGCAAGAACACTTTACACAATTTCCCCCCGGCGAGGAGGTGGAGCTTGGAGAGGAGGAGCCGAGCGGCAGCGCGCGTACATCAAAGAAGATCGAGGGAGCTGCCGGAGCGAGTGAAGAGGAGAGCGGCCAGAGAAGGAAGACAGCTGACAGGTAAGTGCAAATTTTGCTGCTGCAGCCAGGTATACTGGCTGTAGATGGGAGAGGGAGAGAGCGAGCCCAGGCTGGAGCAGGGGTCAGCAAGGTAAGTATCATTGGTGTCAGTGGGAGGAATAGTGCCCCATCATTTGTGTCACTAATACCAACGATGGGGCACTATTCCTCCCCCCACTGACACCAACGATGGGGCACTATTCCCCCCTCCACCACACTGACACTAATGATGGGGCACTAGTCCTCCCACTGACACCAACGATGGGGCACTATTCCTCCCACTGACACCAACGATGGGGCACTATTCCTCCCACTGACACCAACGATGGGGCACTATTCCTCCCACTGACACCAACGATGGGGCACTATTCCTCCCACTGACACCAACGATGGGGCACTATTCCTCCCACTGACACCAACGATGGGGCACTAGTCCTCCCACTGACACCAACGATGGGGCACTATTCCTCCCACTGACACCAACGATGGGGCACTATTCCCCTCACTGACACCAACGATGGGGCACTATTCCCCTCACTGACACCAACGATGGGGCACTATTCCCCTCACTGACACCAACGATGGGGCACTATTCCCCCCACTGACACCAACGATGGGGCACTATTCCCCCCACTGACACCAACGATGGGGCACTATTCCCCCCACTGACACCAACGATGGGGCACTATTCCCCCCACTGACACCAACGATGGGGCACTATTCCCCCCACTGACACCAACGATGGGGCACTATTCTCCCCACTGCAAAATTACAGTTATGAAGTAGCAACGAAAATAATTTTATGGTTGGGGGTCACCACAACATGAGGAACTGTATTAAGGGGTCGCGGCATTAGAAAGGTTGAGAACCACTGCTATAGGTGATGGTCAGAGCCTAAGAGCATGTCATGATAGATGGTTAAAGGCTGTTGATATTGTGAGGGACCGCCGAGCGGCACCACTAGCACTCCACTGGTCAGGTGCGCCCAGAGCGCGGAGTCTAAGCCCCAGGGTACTTGTTCACCAGAGCCCCTGATGGTGGGGATGGACTTGTAGTACCCCGGGACCAGGTCGCCTCTACTGAGCACACCTGTCAGTGGTAGTGGTGTTCGCCAGGGGCTCCAACCAGGGAGAGCCAGATGTGAGGAGGTCGGGTGACCCCAATGGGATGGATGGATGGATGGCTGAGCAAGTGCGTAGTCAGACAGGCCGAGTCGGTATTGTAGAGGACGGTAAGGTACAAGGGAGCAGGCAGAGAATCGTCGGGTCACACGCCAGGTCAGCAACAGGAGGTCAGATCTAATAAGGGGCATCCAGGGAGAGAGGTCAGGCAAGCAGGGGTCTGGGTAGGAGAAATCAGCAAGGTCAAAGGCAATCCGGGTCAACAACTTACTAGGTACAGGTACAGGATCACAGGAAGCAGGTAAGACCAGAAGGCAACGAAATGACAGCTCAGGGACCTTTAAATATCCCGCCCTGCGCTGCCATTGGTGCCCAGCGGGCGGCCGCGGCTTCTACTGCGCATGCGCGAACTCGAACGCCGCGGCCGGCCCGGACCTAGTGCCCGT